TTTCTTGCTGGGTATACATTTTAGTCCAAAGCAAAGATTGTATAGCGCCGAAGGCGCAAGATGGATAACTCTGCCCAAAAGGTGTAATTACCATGGGCGCCATTTGAGCAAGCAATACGCCTGCGCAGTTTATGGTAATGCTTCGGCGCAGGCTCACTAGGTGCACGTGTCTGCCGCGGTGCCTGCACCTATGCAGTAATGTGCATTGCGCAGGCATATCACTTGTTCAAATGGCACCTATGCGATTACAACGTTTTACATGTATTCGCGGTGAAGTTCTCCATCTTGCGCCGCTATACGATCTTTGGTCCAAAGTATTAATATCTATGACACAAGAAGCATCTACGGAAACAAAGTGTGGACCAAACTGGTCCTCACTGTTCTACAATATCACAATCACCATTCTCATCTAGCATAATGCACAGTAACGATGGGCAATATTGAATGAAAATATGCAGTTCTTGAATGGTGTTTCTGGGGAATGTGACAAGAAAGTAAAACCTGTGTTGATTACTGCAGCTAGGCCTGTTTTATGAGCTAAATAAATGGGCAAATGGTTGTAAGATCACTCACTTTCACGGTAACTTTGGCGTGAAGCTGCAAAGTTTCACCGAGCCCATTTAGCAATTCGGGCCCTTCTCATCAAAGTAGTCATTTTGGGTCAAAGATATATTTTTCAATGGATGCCATTGGAAGTTTACTCACTCTGATTGAACCGATGTTGTGAATGGTCGTCGCACCTAAAATGTCGTCAATCTGCACTCCAAACTTCACTATGTAGTTATCCTCTGCCTTGCCTAATGGTGGGAAGAACCGCACACCTGGCAGATTGCCAAATCCCACCACTTTGTTCACAGTATTGCTGTCTGCTTGTACTGCAGTTGAAAAGAATTTTTGTCCAGTCGATGGCATATATTTGCATCAAGTTCTAAAATGTGTCTTGACTTTGAACAATGAAATCAAGAATGAAGTTAACTGTCACTGAAAAAACTGTTTGACTCTTACCAAAGAACTCGTAGTTGGCGATGCCATGTTCATCCTCCCAATCAGAACATACGATATCCACCATATTACCAACCGTGACCTCTGATGGGGTGATTGTGCAGACACCGCCCTCTGGAGGCTTGTTGAGAACAACGCGCGTGTGTGCTTTCCCACTCTGACCCAATTTGTTGGTGACGTAGAGGGTGAACAGGTAGGTGTATACATCAGGGAGTATGGTGAAGACATCCTTGTTAATGTACAGGGAATCCGTCAAGACACCTGAGAAGAAATCAATTCTCTTGCTATTTTCAAAAGGCATGTCTTTATGGAGCAGATAACTGCAATGGACATTTTTTAAAGACCAGTGTGTGCGAGATTGGCATTCAGACAGCACTAGCTCAAAAGGAATCGCATCATAGGTCATTGGAGAACATCGACCAATGCACGTACATCAAATCAGCCCAATCATGGCATGCGTACACAGACTACCCCTAGCATGACTGTGACATCTGGTGCTTTATTGTCCAATGACCTTGCCCGTTTCAGCAATGCAGAACTAGGTGGTTGGTCTTTACCTACAAATCTTGGTTCATGAAGCATGAAATTCATTCAAAGCCTGGACTTAATTAATTTCCAACATATTGGCTCTTTGCTGGGAGCAGCCGAGCAGCAAATCCTGCTTGGAAGATTTATATCATAAATAATGGAACAATAATAATGGAAAGCACTTTAATCTAAGTTAGTTAAAAGTTAGTTATTTCATTATTAGTATTTTTTATCCAAAGCAAAAACTTAGCTGAGTACAAGTCACAAGTATCATACACACCGTGATGTTTTGAACATAAACCAAGTTTGCTTAGCAAATATTTTCTTTGCTTCGCAGATCTATGAAATTGATCTCTGGTATGCAATGATAGCACATCTATACAGACCAGTGTAGTTGTACTAAGTTCTCTACCAAATACTGATACGGTCAAGAGGGAAAAAGGCTAAAAAAATCAGCATTGGACTGTAAATGCAAAGAGGTAAGAATGCAAAATGATTTCATGAAATAAATACTGTTTAACGAAAATTTTATTTTTAGGACAAAAGCACTCAAAAAGTCCCGGAGTACTTAAAACTTAATTTTTTACACAACTGAGAAAGTCTGACATCTTAAGTTTCTTTTGATATCTTACATTTGCGCATTCACCATTAAATGTTCACTTTCTCTAGCCTTGCTCCGCCCTAATCAGTTCAATAGTTGGAAGTTAACTTGGAACACACCCGGTTCACACGCAAAGACTGCATTTTCCGACAGAGACCAGTCACAGGTGCTCAGCTGCTCTCACATTAAGGCAGCTTACCAAGTAGTCCTTACCGTTCTTAAGCGTACAGTCCGCGTTCTTGCCGGTAAGTTAGGCGTCACCAAGGACAGAGGAATGTCGCGGAGCGCACAACCGCGTGCACTCGGGCATATCATAGCAAGCTTGTGTGGGCCCTATTGCCTGCTTGACCAGTGTATTATACATAAACATGAGACGGGAAGCCTAATCTGAATACGGCATTCTGTTTGCTGACTAAACATACTCCAAATAACCTTTTACTTTGAGGTTTGTATGTCTTTTTTATTGACGATGACCGTTGGCACTCAAAATGCTGAAGTATTTTTTGCGTCGTAATAAATATATAATTTTGTCCCTTGTCATGATGTGATATAGATGTGAACAAGTTAAAGAATGAATTTACAAAAGAAAACGAAACGATTCAAGACGCCGCTTATCCCTGTCATTAAGAATGTGAACGATCGAGACCGTCTTTACATTGCCATTGTTGACAGGTCTCAAAAGAAGCCAACTGTGACACTGGACTTGCTGCACCCCAGTTGTTGAATAGCTAATTATCATCTCATCACACTCAAAACACCCCTACAGAAATCTACAGAAAGCTTGTTTTGTCAGTGTTTCCTTCAAGTTTCCTATGAGAGGGACAGTTATGTTTCACCAGTAACAGTTCTGATAATATATCTCATGTTGACCGTGTATAATTTTCCTTGTAAATTACCAGCTTTTTGTAAGTGGGAAACGTATTAGTTTCCCAAGATTAACCACATGCTGCTGGGTGGTTTGAAAAATGCAGTGCACATACAGGCGAATTTCAAGATTTTCAGTTTTCAAAAAACTTTAAAAATTCATGATTTCAATTAATGGGCGTTTACACCCACATGAATTCCTGTCTGATGGCCACTGTAGCCTGACAGATAACATCTATTGACGCCCGAGTATTTCAGCCAGGCCTGCAGCTTGTAAAAAGAGCCCAGATTGTGCGGTGTTATATAACTTTCTTTTGTTTATGAAACTGGCACAGTGTGCTGCTGACCTCTTTTCAATAGGGGCCAGATTAGCGTGCAGCGGTGCTGTGTGGCTCATCACTGCAGTGGTGGAGCGCTTTTATCCGCGGTGGTAATCCGCTTGCACTTAATACCCAAAACCGTGCTATACTGTTTCAAAACAAGATTGGATTATCTCCACTATTGAGAGTGAAAAAATGTCAGTAATGCTCAGCAGCTCAGTCTTTTGTGCCGAGCACGGTCTTTTGTTACAAGGCCCAGCTCATTATTTGGATGGACTTTAAATTCTTGGTTTACACAATCATTGAGGTGTCACTTCATGAATTTCAGGGTCAATACATATTTTAACTGATATGTTCTTCCTTATATATTATTAGTTTTTGTGTTGTTGAGTCATGGAGGAAGAAAAACAGATGCGTACAGACGTATGATAGATTGAGTTAATGATTGAATGAAAATGAATGCGACCAATAAGGGGATGGGAAGGGGAAATTGGTCTTGGTATAAATCTTGACTCATGAGCAGTTCCAATGATCTGATTGACTTACTGCATTTGGAATAGTTTGAACGTTAAATTAGGATGAAATTTGAGATTTGAGCTCGCGAATTCCAGCTGACTTATCGCATGCTGCATACTTGGGACCAATTGGTAAGCTGCCTAAATGCCCATGAACCAGTGTGTGCACAAAGTGAGCTCCCAACAAACAACCAAATGGTTACACAAAACGTGCTCTCTCTTGTGACCGCTCGGAGCAGATATAGATAGATCGTGTTCAAACATCCTTGGGTATGAAGGGGTTTCATAGAAGTTTTGGAAGAGGTCTACTACAGTTTTTGTCCATGCTTATTGGTTACCAGTCGCATGCTGTTCCCAGTTGGTGACCGGCTGTACCGCATTGCTTTCATTGAAGTAGTCCATGTCCCACCGGTAGACGGCATCGTCACACCCAGTCTCGCAGCTGGCGCGCAGTCGGAAGTCGTCGGTCGGGTTGACCACCAGGGATGCATAGGCCGACTCAAACAATGTTCCTCCGCTACAACTGCAGGGTGAACGAAGCCGAAATCAGGGGCAATTAAAGAGGTCTCTGGCTCCCTACACTCCCTACCATAACTTCCATTTCCCCTTCCTGTAGTAACTGTGACCAGTACCCTTGTTTGCCATGCCTTGCCAACGAGGCATATCATCACTTTTAGTGTTGAACAGACAACAGAACGACATATTTGGCATGATTAAAATCATCTGCCTTCACAATTCCCCATTTCTACATCATTCTCTAGTGAATATATCAATGCAACAACACAAGTCTCTGTTAAGGCAGCAAGCAATAAAGGATGTTTCATTTTGAGCGACAAAAAAATCCAACACTGTGGTTCCTATGGGACTTTTAACACTGCGAGAGCAGGAACCTTGCCATAAACGAATAACAAACAGCTGTATTTAGAAACCTGAGTTATTTTTCACACTGAGATAGGCCATTCTGACTCGTCACATCTTTGATTCTTCCTGTGGGCTACTATTCTCTACTATTTGGGGTACAGCAGCTACTTAAATCTAATGAACCTGTAACTCTGCTTGGCCTCTAAAAGCAGTCAGGTTGAAATGGCTCACTGTTCTCCTTATGGAAATCATGAAAAAGCCACAAATTTGATAACATCCATGTGATCAGGCTGAGAGTAGATCAGTAAAACTTTGCACGATTCCAGTGGTACCTGATGGAGGCCTGTGGTGGGTTGCCAGGCTTCACGGTGAAGTAGATGGAGGCATTTGCACGCCTGGGCCCCTTGGTGACGATGACCATGATCTCGTAGGCCATGTTGGGCAAGGTGTGGGTGGTGTCCAGGTCGAGCACGTCATCCTCATAGTCTAAGAGACCACTTCCTGCACAGGATGCGCGACAAGGAGAGCCAAAGTTAGACTCGCGGCCTTGCACCACGGGACCTAAGCGTCAGTGGTCGTAGACTCCCTACGACACAATAAGGATCAGCACCAGTTTGATAGCACTGAAGAATTAACGTGCAGAAGCTGCCATCAATTTGGCTACTGCTTGTCTCATGTTTGAACGTACCTTCATCCTTCAAAAGTAATCCTGGGTAATTTAATTGAATTTGATTTAGTTTAACAGTAACCTGAAATTTATAGGCTCATTTTATCTCATCCTCCTACAATGCTGAATATCAGGCCATGCTCACAATCCAATAAATTGAATAAAAAAAAGGAGCCGCCGGTCCATTGAAAAAAAACACCGTTGCTCATTTACCTAATTGTGTCACAAATGAACTATTCTTTTTGTATAAAAACAAAAGTCTGTTAACAGTAGCATTATCACACGGAGGCGCATCCCCCCAGCAGAGGGCTATGCTCCACCCCTCCAACTTGAACTTTTGGAAATGTACCAAACCTATATACAAGCAGCAGTTCACTGGCTTTTGGTGTTCCTTCCCCTTCAATAACTGCATCAACCCTCTAGATGCCCCTCTAGAAATTTCACCCCAGTTATGCCACCGTCTGTCTAGCTTTTTCTTTTGAAATGACCTCACTTCTTTTGTTTAAATCCTGACCTGTCCCAAAGCAGCCTCCATCCTCTGTATCTCCTGAATTCGGAACACCCACTGGAATCTTGTAACTCTTGTCAATTTCTCTCTGGTCGTCCAGTTTCCATGGCTCGTAGAAACGTCGACAAAAATACTCAATACTGGTAAAATTCTGTTGATTTGAAAAAAAAAACAGATTGCTGATTCTGAGACTTGTATTCACTTTTGTAGCAACCTTCTGAAAAGTCCTTGAGAGAAGTACACGTAAGCAATGAGAAACAATAGTGCAACACGTAGTCTACAATTCTTGATCTTTTCATTTATGTATGTAGTCTCATGAGACCAATGATTTTTTTGATGTGCCCATATGGGTCATTCCATGAAGTTGGGGCACAGTTTGTTATAGCGTCCCTTGTTACATCGGTAACTTTTATTGCCCATTATTTTCACATTACAACAGATTAAGTCATTATTATTCGGCAAAGATGAAGCACACCGCTACGAGAACCTAGCAAGATTTAGAACAATGTCAATTTAGAGTCCACATGCAGGAAAAAAAAGATGTTTATTTTCACTGATGTAATAAACAAGGGATGCCGTCACAAACTGTGCCCGAACTTCGTGGAATGACCCATATGGCAATACACAGCTCACAATCCCAACGAAACCCAAGGTACTCAGGAATTACATCACTGCGTAAGCTTATGAATTTGAAAGCCTGGGGTAAATACTGTAGGTAACCCCCACAAACTGTTGGACAAATTAGATTTTGACCCCACCTCATGGCAATTAGGGCAGAAATCAGCAGCACCAAGGGACCACAATACGCTCGCAGAGCTCCAAATGCATCCTGCTGTCAACAGCAACTACTAGCCTTGTTTATTGCTACATCAATGAAGAGCTACTGCTCTGTTTACTGCAAGATTTCAAACCGAATGGACCCAGTCCATTCACTTCTTGTCGGAAACAAAGTCGGGTATTAAAGCAAGATCTGGGTGACTATTTACGCCAGGACTTGGGTACATGTGTAATGGCAGTTTTGGAATTCCAAATTCATTTGTGGTTACTTGCTCCAGGGAACCAGGGGCAGATGGGGGGGAGGGGCTGGAGAGTGTGGCCCCTACCAAAAAAAAAAAGAGCCAATAATTGGGGCTGGGGGGGCGATGAGAGAATGGCAACTTCTTGGTCTCTTTCATTTCTCCTCCTCCAAGAAGCCTCACCCCTCAGAGAGGCCATCAAAAAGATGCCCCCCCCCAAAAATCTGCACCCTGAAATTTGATTCATCCTTGCTTTGAACTCAATGTTCCTGCTTTGTGAGGCGCAACTACTTATTCCTGTGAGATTTAGACACATTTCAAGCCCTATACAGCAGTGTAAGGAAAGCTACATGTACCACCATTCTTTGTTAGTTACAGCATGCATCCAATGTCTCATAGACCAAGGTGACAACTTTGGGGAAAATTTAAGCATCAATTCACCTGATCAGTGACATCGTCTGGCAGGTCTGGGTCACGTGACAGCACGCCTGGCTGCAGTCGAATGGCCAGACCATGACCTATGACCTTGGAAGTTGTCTGACCCTCGATGATCTGAACTGTAAGGGGCGAGGACCGTATCTGGACGTATTCATTGGCGAATGCGACGTAGTCAATGTCTTCGGGCGTATCCCGGTCCATGTGGACAGTGTACTTGAACTTCCAGGTACCCAGGGGGATGGTCCACGGGGGAATGTTGATTTCAGCTGTATGGGCATCCGGCAGGTAGAACCTGTGCGTTGGAGGGAGACCGGTCAATCTGGTGGCGGTACCAGGGATGGCAAGGCCAGTTTGTGGATCCACCTCCTCCAACTCCCAGACCTTCTGGTTCTCATAGGACTGGCACTCAACGCTGGTCACGCCCTGAATCTGCAAGTACTCATTGAAGTGCGCAACCCGGGGCCCACGCCAGTCCGGGTGGCTGTCACGGATGAAGAGTCGTGGGGAGTTGCAGCTGAAGTCGGACACGGCAAAGAAGAGCGTGGCACTGGCGTCCGACACCCGGTTGAAGCCCGAGGCGATCAGGCGGAAGGAGCCCAGTGACGTGTACACGTGAGTGACGCGGAAGCTGTTGGTGAGTGGGTGCACGTAGGTGGCTGAGGGGTAATTGGCATGATTCTCGCAGGTGGGCCGATCGCCGAATATTTCTTGGGTGGCGTCGTCGTAATCAATTACAAGGCAGGACCTTGTCCCAAGACTGGCCACCGTGACGTCAAAGTCCTTGGTCTCGTTCAGCGTGGTGGCTTGCACCTCTGACACCATGATGCCATCAATGTTCTCCTCAAGCATTACAGTTACTGTGCTCGAGGACACTCCTGGCAAATCATTACTGGCATCGATGGTCACCACGTACGTCCCAGCCTGAGGGAGGAAAAGAAGCACAAGAATAGGAAATCACAATAAAGGGAAAAAAGATGCAAGAATGGTTGTTTTTTGAGCAGTTCATTAACCCTCCTATGCTAAAGTCACTCTTTGGGTCACTTGGTAAACACCTCAAAGAAGCACAGCTGTGTTGTGTTGTGCACTGCACCAACATGCAAGAGAGTGACCTTGGGCACTTGTGCATATTTGTGCTGTAAAACTAAAGGAGGGTAAATACTATACTCGCATCCATGCGGTCACAGATGAATGAACATCCCTGACTGCATAACAAAAGTGAATACTAGTTTTTCTTTTCAAGTTGGACTGATTCCACGATAAAATAAGCCATCTAACAAAAATACACTGTCGCTGTAGACTGTCTATTGAAAGGGGATTACCCCGCTCCCCATGAGGTCATAGTCCCCAAGCAGACTTGACAGTACTAAAAAGGAATCTTGAACTGTCCAGTCCATGCTTACTGCATTGTAGTGATAGGGTATCGTCTCTCCAGTCACTGTATCCAGAGGGGTTGTGTCTCCATAGTTGATGGTGTAACTCATGCGAGTGCCTGGAAATAACAACACAAAGATTACAGTCAACTGTAACAGTAACTAAGGGCGGAAGTCCCGGGGGGGACAGGGGGATATGTCCCCCCCCATGAATTTGGTATGGGGGGGACACCACGTCAAGCATGTCAAGCATGAAAGAAAACAAAAAATTCAAGCGTTAACAAAATCTCAGGCAGCTTGTAAAACATCAAATAATAAATACCGCTGCTACATAGCTTGGAAAAATATGACGCTCTTAAATTAATGGGACATGTGTACATTTTGAGATACACCTGACATCATCCAGAAGTTACATATTTCTGCAAATGTTGGCCAACCACTCGACATAATACAACATCTGAATAAACTGTTAATCACATGTCACAGACTTTTATTTGGTACATTCAACAGTGGGTCCGTTAAACGACGATATACTGTGTTAAATATAACATTGAACTACACGCACAGGCATAGCCGCTGCTCTTCACACAGGCAAAGAATGCCACACAAAGCACAAGGAAGGTGCAGTTGTGGCTCTTCTTACAAACAGACAAAATTTTCGGCTGCGACTCGGAACCTGAAAACTTTGTCCCACATTTTTACGGCAAGATGATGAAGTAAAGCGGCAAATTGTACATGGTGGGAATTTATTTCAGGCTTTGAATGACACAATCTGTGAATGTTTCACTTTCGTGCAATGGAAAGAATGATTTCACAAGGTGACAGACTGAATGTTCCATTCCACACGTCAAACTACTGCATCATTATCCGAGAGATCTGTACCTGTGGTGAGCTTTGGCACCAGAACCACTGGGAATCCAGTGGAAACACATTATGCAGGGGACCAAATCCCATCTTGATGGGGCCATCTAGAGGCAGCGGTGGCTGGTACATGGCCTCCACAAAGAAACCGGTGATGGGCTCTACCATGAAAATCTGACGGATGCATTAGAAAAAGCAGGGATCTTACAATCGGCGAAAAGCATTGATACGTTAATTTCCCAGGGTGTACGTAAAATCATATTGAAACCGGAGGATTTGGAACTGTTAGGGTTAAGCGTACGAGAAAAAAACAGAGGCCCATGTGAAAGCTACAGTGTGCAACTTCAGCCATGCCTAGGATGTCTGCGACTTATGCAGCTTCACAATGAATGTTGACCAACTTGACCACAGACAATCAGTTTTTGGGATGACTCAAGTAGGACATCATTAAGGACCATTAGAAATGGTGCAGGCGCTGGATGCCTTTTGGAGCATGGAGAAACTGGTTGGTTGAATCACAAATTTGCATGGTAATTTGATTCCACACACTGTAAGCAATGTACATTTGACATCTATGTGCTCATGTACACACACATCAGTGCTGTATTCGAGTCCATCAAAAATTCCTGCAAGTCCCTTTAAGTCCATCATCACAAAGTCATCCAGTCTTAAGCCAATTCACAAGCTATTCAAATAAACTGTGACAAAAAACAGTCTTTTGTCATTTTTCACCGTGTTACTTGTGACTGGCCCTGTGAAGGGACTTGTGACTAGCCTTTTGAAGGGACTTGTGACTGGCCTTGTGAAGGAACTTGTGACTGGCCTTTTGAAGTGACTTGTGACTGGCCCCGTGAAAGGACTTGTGACTGGCCCTGTGAAGGGACTTGTGACTGGCCTTGTGAAGGGACTTGTGACTGGCCTTGTAAAAAGACTTGTGACTGGCTTTGTGAAGGAATTTGTACAAGGACTTGTGATGGACTCGAATACAACACTGACACACATAGGTTTTTAAAATAACTGCACAAAATACCGACATAACCAACAATTTTTTTTCTGAGTCATATATGTATCCTGTGGGCTATCCACCTAATTTTACTGTGGTCACCAGCTTACCCAAAACAAAATTTTTATTTAGAAAAGGAAGCTCACCTCTCAGCATTTTGCAAGCTACCAATGATCTGCACAGTAACACTGGGTGAATTTTAGGGGCTGTTTTCTTTTGGGGATTTGCACAATGTCATGAAGTTCAAGAGGTGGCATAAAAAACAGATATTCATTACCTGTAGTGGGTAAGACTGTACGGATATCTTGTTGCTGATGGAAACCACGGCTTGGTACTCGCCGCTAAAGCGGACAGTTAGCGGGAACTGCTCACTTTGGCCATCAGCGTCGATGCTGAGTGGTGTCAGAGTGCTGTTCTCATAATACGTGATGCTGGAAGAGAACTGGGGAGCTGTGCCCAGGTCTTGGCCAATCGGCAGGTTAATGGTGACGGTAAAGGTGATGTCACCTGCCGTAGGGATTCAAACTCAAATTTGGACCAAAAAAGTAGTGGGTACAGGCCTACAGTCAGTCCCTACGGCAAAAAGGCTCGTAAAACGTTGCTAATCCTACTCAGGTTGAAGTGCGCCCTCATCGGCAAGGAAGAGACAGGCTGGTGGGAGGTTTTTCAACAGGGCTCATGCATGCATGTGGTCCACACGCAAAGACAATTCACTGAACTGAAATCTGACGCCTACCCATGGTATGTTCCACACCTAATGCCCATGAACTTGAATGCGCAAGTTCTACATTCCCACCAAAAGACAGTCATTGCTATGTAAACTGACACCATCTCTTGTTCCTGCCTGTTGGCATGAAATGCCCAAGACTATTTGAAGAGTTTAGAGTTACAAAACAATCAACACGTTTTTATTTTTGGGGACAATTTCAATTCTCACCGCAACAACCATGGATCCACATCAGAGTTGCTGGCACTGCTCAAGCATTCACTCACTACATGCAATGCGGCTTTTACTCTGCTGATTGCATTTAGATTACCTGGATGTGGCCGTGGGGAATCTGAGGTGATCACGAAATGCTCCCGGATGATGGGATTCTGCACGTACATGATGACAGTGGCCGTTTCGTTGTTGGCAAAGTTACTGGCGGTGACGGCGAGGGTGAAGGTGCCATCCGTGTTGTACGTGTGACTCTGAATGTCCGCATCAGAGAAGTTCAAGGCTGGAGAGGACAGGTTTGAAATCAAGCTCAGCAGCTATATAGACAAGTATTTCCCTGAGACAGATCCAATTTTTTTAGTGCTTTTTAATATCTTTAACCTCCTTCTCGTATTAGAAGTGTACACTCTAATCTCATATCAGACAGTATGGGCAAAAAATTAGGTTCTTCTGATACGGATATGGCAACTTTTAGCTCCTGAATCCTTTTTTTTTTGGAATGCAAGATTTTAGAAAAAGTAAAATAACAAGCCAAAATAGTGCATTCAGCTTTAAATGTTCTTGGCCGATAATGAGGCAGCATCTACAGATGAAGAGTTAGAAAATTAGACCAAATTTACGAGATAGACTCAAAGGGCCACATCAGTTAATTTTCTTGGACACACTTTATCTGCACCATGGTGTCCATTTGGGGTTTGGTCTGCTACAAAGTTCACTGTTCTGAACATTTATACATTATCCATGCTTTTCCAGACAACAGAGGGTGCTGTTTCTGTGATGTCGCTCAGGGCAGACACAAGTTGATGGTTTCCTTTGCAGTTCAAACTGTGAACTCCAAATTTGCTCGCTGAAACTATTTCTGGGAAGGGTTGCTTGTTGGCTCATTGCCATCCTTGTACTTTCTCAACAATGAATCACAAGCGAAAAGGACATTCAGAATACCAAAATATCACCAATTCCAACATGTTTTGTTAATGAATCTGCAAAACGCTGAGTCGCTCTCCCTGGGATAGCAGAGTTTTGCTCATGAATATGAAAATTCCATCACCAAACAAACCTTTTAAAATAGCAAGACAACAAAATTGAAACATTATTGAAACATGAGGGTGCATTTTCAAGGGTTGCAGTAAAAACCTGCATTGCAGCAAATGACATTGCAGCAAATGGCACTGTAGCAAACTGCACTGCAGCAAACCGCACTGCAGCAAACTGCCCTGCAGCAAACCGCACTGCAGCAAACTGCCCTGCAGCAAACGGCACTGCAGCAAACTGCCCTGCAGCAAACGGCACTGCAGCAAACTGCCCTGCAGCAAACCGCACTGCAGCAAACTGCACTGCAGCAAACGGCACTGCAGCAAACGGCACTGCAGCAAACTGGACTGCAGCAAACTGCCCTGCAGCAAACGGCACTGCAGCAAACTGCCCTGCAGCAAACTGCACTGCAGCAAACTGCCCTGCAGCAAACTGCACTGCAGCAAACTGCACTGCAGCAAACTGCACTGCAGCAAACAGCCCTGCAGCAAACTGCACTGCAGCAAACAGCCCCGCAGCAAACTGCATTGCAGCAAACTACATTGCAGAGCCCCTTAGAGCTTAAAAAATTCTTCACTGCTGTTTGCTCAGGGGTTTCTTCAGGCTTGCTGGCAACTGAGCCAATTTTTTAAATCAAACTTCATAGGCCTTTAAAGTCACAACCATCCACCAATGGATACTTGTCACATGTTATTCATACCTTGACGGACTGTGGTGTCTTGAGTGCCATCTCCCCAGTCCCAGGTGTAATTCACCATGGCCCCACCTGAGATCTTAGCAAAGACTCTGACTGTTCCTCCCACGTTCAACACGTCCGTGTCAACCTCCACCTCCAGACCTGAGGTATATCATCCAGCATATGAGAGGCAGTCTTATAGTTTGAGAAAATAGCCAAGTTTCCTAGTACATCGAAAAGCAATAATCAGGGTGGGTGAAGGGCACTTTTTTTGCATTCATTTTTAAAAGCTAATGAGGTTGTCCAAGTTAATTGTATGAACTTTGTACCAGCCTTGTGATGTTCACTAGATGAGTGGTTAACCACTTGCTGCCGGGGAACCCAGTTTCGGGTACCTCGGATTTGTACGCATAGCCGGGGTACCCGAAATCGGACAAAAGAGCTGGGCCTTGTAACAAAAGACCGTATTCGGAACAAAAGACTAAGCTGCTGGGAAGTGCTGACATTTTTTCAGTTGTTAATAGCGGAGGAAATCTGTCATTGTTTTGAAAGATTATACCACTGTTTGTGGAATTCAGCGCGAGCAGATTACCACTGGAGACAAAAGCACTCAAGCCCTCCAGTGATGAGCGATACACCACCACTGCACACTAATTTGTTTCCCTGCATGACTCCAATCGTAAAATGTGGAGCCTTCCGTCTAAAATGTTAAAGATAATTCTGACATACGAATAGGAACTATATGATAAATATAATGGCATTCACTGGTATAATCTTGACAGTTAAAATCCAAAATAAAATAAAATAAGTAGGAACTGCATGGTCAGTGTCTCTCCGCAGTGGAAGAATGCAGAGATAAGAAAATAAGGAAGGAGAAGGAAAAAGCAACTGAGGCCGAAATCAATGAGCTACAGTGATGTAAATACAGTGTAAACATAATATAAATATGAAAAAATTGCGTGTACAAATCAAAGTCTTTTAATATATGAAAATGGAATTGTAAATGTGCATATTTAAGAAAATATTGACTGGTAAGAATTTAACTACATTTCAAAAGGCTCTCTGGTCAGGGCAGCTCAGAGCACAGTCACTGGCCTACTCAGTGACAGTCAATATGTTCATGTTTCCTGCCAGTGTAGAATATTGTACATTATTGACCACTCTTTGTCACCTGCATACACCTGTCACAATCACCTACACCAGAATTATAGATTGGGCCCCAGTCGGTGCAGAACACTCATCTGTGCTCTTACTGCTGGTCAATATGCTTATACATGTATTTACTGCTAGTGCGGAATAGTGCACTATTTACCATCCTTTGTTTCACACATGTACCTGTCACGATCACCTGCACCAGGATTACAGTTTGGGCCTCGACGGGTACTCCTAGGGACGGTTCCGACATGCTTGCCCTCACGTCATAGAAGTCAGGTGCATCAAACGAGTGCTTGATGGCCACCTGTATGGGCTGAACAGCCGTGGCTCGTACGTGGTGACGGATCTGGTGCCCAGTGGTCTTAGTACCAGCGGAGAGGCTTTGCCCAGCTGTGAAGTCCGAGTCAGCGTACTGCAGCTCAATTGGACTGCCTAGGGGGACCGTCTCATAGAAAATCTGGGCACCTGCGTCCGAAATCTTGGCTCCAAGCACATAGCCTGTCTTCAGGTCAATGGGCTGGGCTAGGGCGTGGTAGAAATAACCAGTGGAGACAACACTGAGGGGTACCATCTGCAACGCAATGTGAACCAGATTGCTCTTGTCGGTGATCACAGGTCAAATAAGCCATTTTAGAGTTAAATTAAATAAAATCTGGCGCACTGAGTTATCTGACTGCACATGAACATAACAATTCGATTTGGGGAAAGCTTTCGCATAGCGACCACCATCTCTGGAATGGACTGGTTCCTTTATGCCCTCCTTATCCATTGAGAACAGTGTATTGTTGTAAGGCATCTCTTATGTAACTAAGCTAAAAGCTTGCCCCGAATCATGAGATATAGCAACAGTGTCTTGAGAATGGAGAATTCAAATTGCTAAGTTCACGTGAATTTGAACTCAGTGTACCAAGTTTTATTCAAATTTAACTCGCAAAAGGCTTATTGCATGATCCAGTCCTGGTTTTTACCGACCTCTACAATTTCGTATTCGGCTCTTGGGTTCACCAGTGGGTTGGTCTCATAGCGTGCTGGCTTAGATGGGCAGGTGTCGATGTGGATGCTATTCATGCAGCGGGTATTGGACGAGCAGAAAATTTCATTGATGGCTGTGCAAGTGTCCTGTTGGGTCGGCTGGGTCGTCAGTGTGAAGTCGTAACTGCAGGAGCTGGCAGCCATGCAGACATTGTCCAACGGGCAGTAGACGTCGCTGGGCGAGGCGCACACCGGCTTATAGACCTGTGCATGAGCAGGAAATGTGGATGACATAGGCACCTATCGGGATCAGATCGGTAACTATAGAGATGAGATAGGCAACTATTGAGATGAAATAGGTAACTATTGAGAGGAGATATAACGACATTATAAAGAGATGAGTTTTGCTGAGAGCTTTGCTGAACAAAACAATGCACTGCAGAATCAAATGGAAATGTTCTATTGATGTTCAAGGGCAGATTTCGGGAGGGGGGGTCAACTGGTGAAATGGCCTCCCCAAAACAGGAGCAAATTTTGGTGTTGTTTTGAAAACTTTCCATTCCTTCCCAATGCACGTAAAAAGTCCCCAAATTTAGCCTTACCCTTCAGAAAGTCCATAAAAAGTTAACACATATGGAAATTCTTCATTGTTCTATAGCTACCCCCCCACCAAAAAAAAATTGGGGCTCCCCATGAAAAATTGGTTCTAGATCTGCCTTGGTGCAAAGAGGGAGACAGCTGACTGCCTGCATCAAGTAATCAGAGAAGGCACATAAACAACACTGCACTCAGGCATGATGGGCGTGTAACGACGTCCCCCTTGAAACGATTTCCCAGCCTCATGATTGAGGTGTGAAATTGCAAGTGTCAGAAATATGGCTGACCACAAATCTAACAAAATGAAGCCAAGTACCACTTGAGCTTCAGGGAAATGGTATGACCTCTACCAGAACACCATTTCATATGAAAATTTTGAGGGAGTTTTGAAGGCATTTAATTTTTTAGTTGAATGGCATCTCAAACTCTTTCGTGACTGTCTGTATCTGCCTGAAGTTGTGCATGCTGCCGGATTTTTTTAAACCATATGGAAATCAGGCTCAACTCACATAATCAATTGATAATTGAACATTGAACTCTATTGTAATGTGGCAGAGGTTGAGACCCCATCACAAAAAAAAAAGACCTGAGAAATCTCAGAGGCTCAATCCGGGAAAGATTTGCTTCAAGCTTGCGCCGTGTGTTCAGTCTTCCACTTGAAGCGGTCGAATGAATTTCATGAAAAAAACCTGACCACATGGCCACTGCCTCACAAAATACGCTGGGCCAGACACCAGTCAAATACAATACAGTACAACGCAGTAAGGCAAATGTCCTGTGGCATCTAGAAAGTTATGTCATATACAGTGCATGCACCTTTAAGTAAAAGAAACATTTCTATTTTACAAACATTTTTGGAACATTTTGAAGATAAATAGGTAAAAAAAAAGCACTGCTGAGCTAACAGTAATGATGTGATAGTAATGATGCTGCAGGACCGACAGTCAACTAAGTGGCCTTAGTCGAATGGTTCAGTGGGAAATTTTGGCCTCTGTCTCACCACAAAATGAAGGGTGCCATCTCCAACACTAGCAATGGCTGCCTCAATTGCAACGAGCTTGGACTTCTGCAGTATTTCCAAGCCTGGAAAGACCCAGAAGATTGGCGACGTGCCGTGGATGTCACTGCTGGACAGCAAAAGGGTTGGATCTTGCGAGACATGGCCGAAGTAGAAATATGTTGGCACTGCAAGAAAACAAGGTTTGAACGTTTCTAGCCGAGTACGTAACGGGATACTTGAAATAAAATAAAGAGTATTCGGTGATGATAAAATTACACAAATATTACAAGAAAAAAAATTATTTTGTCCTCAACAGTTGCCTCTGTCTACAAAAAAATTGGAGCTTGGTGAACGATGCATGCATCAGCATGAAAGAACCATAAAAATAGCATGAATAGGATGAATTAATCAGCAGTCTGTACTACTCCTTACGTCAGTATTCGAACCGTAAGTACACCTATATTTGGCTAATCAATGTGCAAGTAGGGCATTCCAACAGCACATGCCTATATAAAATGCATCCAAGGTCACTTGACAGCAGCAATGTATGCCCACGGTCTGCCATACACATGTGTATGCCGATTGGTATTCATGATTTGTTTGGGATGACTTTTCTTTTGAATTACCAAACTGGTTCATGGTTAAATGTTATAGTACCACCTCACATTCCTGGCTCCCTCTAATGCAAGTCATAACCATTGCAATTAATTATTAAGAAAAAAACGTACATTTCCATTTATTCACAAGAGACAACGTCTTCAGTTGACCTTGCTGAGTACAACATTTTCCTACAGGGCCGAATTTAATGGTGCTGCTTAACAGCAGATGCTGGGGTGAGTTCGCTGACAACAATTAACTCTGACCTTGCTACACGTGCCAATGTGCAGCAAGGCCTAATTTACATATCACGGTGATGCTCAACTCCCAGCTGTTAGCAGAAAATTCATACGCTTACTGTAAAAGAAAATATTACGCTGCTGCATGAGCTTGTTGATTTATTCATGCATGGAGATTTGTATTTAATAACACCAATTTAAATAACTTTTCTCTCCAGTGCTAAGCGTGCTTAAGCCATGTTTACTGTCAAAATGCTGTATGGGCAAGGCTCTCTGTCTTTTCCTACCTCCATGGTGTACCTATGTATGCCACCTTGGGGCCCATTTACACAGACAACGGGTAGAAGAGATTGGCTCCATAAAAGTGTCAAACACAGCAGTTTGGGAAAAAACTGCAAAAACGTCTGTTTCAAAACCTTAGCAATTTTTCAACGATACTGTATTCAATGTAATCTGGCCAGTGACATATCAAGGAGTTGGGTCAAGGGGCAAAATGGCCATCTCACTGTAATAACTACCCACATTTTTGGCGGAGAGAAAAGTTGTTTTGTGGTAATCAGGATTCTTTTTTTGTAAAAGAAGCCTCATTCCCTCCCCCCAAGAACAATAAGTGATAGTACCATTTCCAAAATGGTAGCACTTTCAATTCCTCAAAAAAAAAAAACAATACAAAGGAAAGTGCACTTCACATCCAAGGGGGTAACTTGTCCCCCTGCCCCCTGGATACGTCACTAATTCTGGCCAATTAGCAGCCGTGTAAGATATCTCAGGGACTGATTGTCATGGTTGAGCACTTCCTTGTCGTGCTTTCTATGCTTCCTCTGGAGCCCTATGCTAATTGTGGAAAGCCGGTAATTTACATAAATGTACTAGGCAGATTTCTGCACTGTCAGTGAACTTAAAATATTGCTAAACATGTCTGTCCGTGCGGATGGGCCCTTGAACTGAACTTTGCTTTATCTAATGAGACTTATCCATCAGTCGTTATTCGGAAGAGGTCCTCACTTCCTGCAGGTATTGCCGGCCCCATGACGGCCTCGGCACCGGAGCCAAAGGTCGGGGTCACAGAGAGGTTATTGCCATGGAGAATCTCCACAACGCATTCAAATTCTTGGGACACACCGGCTCCATCTGGGCAAGTAACAGTGGCTCCCGACACGGCTGTGGTCACGCTGTGATGGAAGGCGTCAAAGTCAACCTGGCAAGAGAAACTCTCAATTTTTTTCTGTCTCTTTCTTTGAAATGTCAAATCTAGAAAAGTTAGGGAGACAGATGTTTGGATTCGAGAAAAATTTTTCTCAAAATACTTCACTGGGGTGCATGCAAGGATGCATGGCCTGTGTGGACTGGGGTTTGTAAAACTCCCAAAATAAGGTCCAAGGGTTCGAATCCAGAGATGGAGGCATACATTTTTCCCTTGGGCAAGTCACCTTAGTCGTACTTGCATCACTCCATCTAGGGGTATACATTGGTGCCTGTGAGGGCAGAGAGGGTCATTGTGGTTGATTGGCGGGGGGGGTGCTGACATGGTTCTGGGCGTGGTGAACAGAGCAAAGGGGGAGGGGTTATGCAGGGGGAGGAGGGTTGAATGAACCCTCCCCCTTTTTTCTACTCCCCTGTAATCCTCCATTAATTCACCAACAAAACTACCACAAAACAGGACTTTTGGGTTTGTCTCTTTTTTCTGAATTTACAAAGTACGAGGCAGCAGAATTTGATGTCTTGAACCCTATGGTCTGGGGATTCCCTTTGGGGACCCCATGCTACTCTAGTGACTTTTGAAGCCCCCGTCTGATAATCCTGGGTATGCCTCTACAATCAAGGACAATAACTCACGCATTTCAGGTTATTCTCACGCACACAAGATTTTTCATTAAGAAGAAACAGAAAAAACTAGGAACTACAAAAAGTACAAACCTAAGCTAAAACAGTACTTGAAAAACCAATTCTCTTAACCCATCTGTGTCCTGTCCAGACTGCTGATTGAACACGTTGCAACATCCAAAAAGCTCCTTTCTGGTCGAGTCTGTTGGCCTTAATTGCATCGGCATTGATGTCAACCATTTGGAACAATTAGGATATAATTCCCTGCCCAAAACAGGCTTGAGGAACTCCGCCAACATCTATTCCAATGCTCAACTCCAACTCAATATTGGTAACCCTACATATTGTTCATCTGACCCTCAGCCTGGAGAGACTTCCCTTGATGCTGTAAGGGATGCACTCAATTTTCTTTGCTTGCATCTCTCATTTCCTAACTGTTGCTGCTTTTAAAGCATAGATTCCGGCCGCAGGGCAGTGGAAATCCATGTACTTACTGAAACATCATTGCGTACAATGACGGACACGATGTAGTCACCTGGTGCAGTGTACGTGTGACTGTTATGTGCCGATGCCGCCGTCCCGTCCCCAAAGTCATATGTGTACTTCAAGTTTGATCCCGAGGCACTGCTAGTGAGAACAGGGCTACCGAGACCCACCACATATGCGACGGCGTCGTCCAGTTGGATCGCAGCCCGGGTATCTGCGATGCTGTAGACCAGGGCATAATCGTTGTGGCCGCATTTGGCAAGGGCATCCCCTGTGCAGAGGGTGCTGCACAGGGTGTCGTCCGCCTCACGCGCCGCCGGGGAATAGTTGGTGTCTGAGCACAGGCAGATCTGGCCAGCCTGCAAAGACACATGCCAAAGTTACAAGTGAAATGGCATTGCTCATTATAAAAGATGGATCTAAGCAAATGATCATGTTACACTCCAACGACAATGTCTACAACTGAAAGAGTCCCAGCTAAAGTGCTACAGTTGGGCTGTCCCAAATCTACAGTTGGGCTGCCCTAACTACGGTTGGCAAATTTCCACAAAAAAAATTTCTCACCCTTCTCCAAGCTTATGCCACTCACACCTGACATAATTCATCCAGAATATGCCAACCTGTCATCATCTATATCACATTTCTGCAAGCACAAGTTCTTGATGGGGATTAAATCATTTGAGCACAATGCTATGACCACGGAGGAAGGAACAGACACACTGGCACTCTGCCATGTGCTGCAGTTAAGCTGGCCCAACTACAGTTGGGACTGATACTGTAGTTGGAACCCCCCCTCCCTGATCCACTTTTGCTCAGTGTGTCCCGGGCCAAATGCGCATTAACCTGGGTGCACACGCGAACAAATAATTTTCTCACCAAAGGGGCCTCAAAAAAAAACACACAACATGTGTCTCTTGGTCCAGCTTGAAGCGAGCCCGGGGAAGAAATTCGAGGGCTTTCACCAAGTGTAAAAAAAAATTTGTCTCGCACGTGTGACTGTTCGAGTGAATCAAATCCAGCAGGGTTGAGAGGCTGGCATGGCACGGTACTCCGTCTGGTCCAACAGTCCTTTGTGTCTAGACACTTGTGGTCAGAATTGGAAAAGCCTTTTCTGCGGCTCATGTCAAGCAAAAAGGAACACTACTTGATGGAAGTAATGCAACCGTTTCATTAAAGCTCAGCAGCAAATGAACATCATGGTATATATTGACCTTCTTGACATTTTAATATTGAGGAAAGGGCATAATTTGATTTTCGATACGAAAAGATATTCAGGGGAGTATGTGGCCACTTAAAATTAAAGCTGAAAACAGCTACTGTAGCAAAAACCTGAAATGTAAGAAGTTTCCACACGTTTATAAACTGCAGGTGCAGATAAAAAGCTGACATTCAGGATCAACATCGAAACAAAAAAGAAGTGTACAGTGAAATGTACAGTCTTCATTGTTGTCTGGATATATGATGCTTTCCTTTACTTTGTACAATTATCTCAATAATGTTGGAAGTATCTATAATTAACAGTGAGCTGGGGATGGGATCGCAAAGAAGAATATTAAGCCCTTGGTTTCTAACTCTTCTCACAGTGAAGGCCTCTCCATTACATTTACGACAGTGACTTTCTACATCAACAAACCTGAATATCTCCCTTTGTTCAATGCATGTCTGGCTTCACAAACTATGGGGGAAATATGAGAAAAATAAATGATTTTCACCCCCTTTCCTCAATGTTCTCTTTTTCCTCTGGGTGGGGGTGGGGCAAGCAACCTCCCCCCAACAATGCCCATGTATGTCCGTACCCGTAGTGCAGCATAGCTGTATTCTTGGTAGGCACAGGCCTGTATGCAAGTATCATGATCCAGGGAGCTGGGATCATAACCGCCCGGTGAGATGAAGAACTCACTGCTGGTCTTGTTGACACTGAAGCATCCCTCCAATGTGGCAGCTCCTTGAAAGAAAAGTAAACAAACCCAATAAGGCCAAGTAAAGAAATTGAAGTGTCTAGTCACACGGTTTTTCTCAAAAGGGAGGAGGCCACCCGTCATGTTGTAGGCACTCAGGCCAATCAATGGAGCCAATAAAGACACAGTAAAGAGTCTCATGTTTGGCACAATGATTCTCCAGTTAACCAGTGAGTTTTAAATATACTTTTCCTCTGACAATCTCAGTTTTTCCCCAAGCTAAGTGGACATTTGTTCTAAATATATTAAATTAAAGGTGCGAGGAAATTTAGCATTTTTGGTGCATGGTGGTGAGTACACTGAACAAAAAGGAAAGCCTTGCCTTGCCAAGAGATAACCCAGTAGGCCTAGTTTAACAGTTGATTATGAGTTTCTGCAGATATACAAGTGGGCATACTTAAGTTGTATCACACGAATATTGAATACTTCGATTGTACAGTAAAACTGGCCTCCTGGCCTCCTGGGTTGATCCATGGAGAATTACATTTTCCCACGGCAAAGCCGAAGGAAACTAGAATGCTCCACACATCACCATCTGGGGGAAGTTACTTTTACTATAGTTTTACAAGGGCTTATACAAAAAGTTATAGCCCAGGTTGGACGTTGTCTTCATTTACACCATAGATGTTTACACTACGACTAACATGTAGACGACATCCACTGCCATGGGCAAACGTATGGGCTTATGTCACGTCACCCATGTCACCACCACTCATTATGTTCATTCAAACTGCCTCAGGGTTCGTGCAAAGGTGTTCAGCAGAGTCCGCACATGAAATTCTTTCCCAGTGTTTCACTTATTAAAATGGCACAAGTCTGAACGATACCTGCAATCATTTGACACACCAGGCCCTAGGCATATTCGTATTTTTTTCTGACTTTCCATCCCCGGTGCATATTTATTACGTACATGTAACGTACGTACACGTGTGCAAATGCGGTGAAGTCAAATTAGGCGCATGAAGCACGCCCTCCATTGATACGTCATTTTATTACATAAAGTGGGCGTACGTAAACTTGTGTCGCTTACCGACAAAATAAAAGGGTGCAGTTAAAATAGACGTGACTTATTATTTTTGCCGTCCTTTAACACTAAAACAAAAAAAGTTGTGGCTTGTGCTGGTCCCAATATCTGATAACAGAGCTAAACGCTCTGCTTGTGGTGACCCATTTCAAGCCGATTTGGATCGATGGCTTCACAAATAAACTTGCACTTTCTGTCGACAACAGCGGCGCTGCTTCCAAGCGCCGGACGAGAAGGGTAATTAAGACCTTGTTATCGATCCAGCTTGTGTCTCCAACTTCGATTTTTGGTGGTATTTAGCTCTGTCACGGGATATTATTAGGTATCCAACTTCAGATGGAGCAAACAGTGCAAGGAGGGTTTTTGCGAGGCGAAGTTAAACATATTTCCCTCTACTAACCAATGCATTAATTCCAACGTGCAAAACATCAATTTCACTAGGCTATCTCATCTTTTTTTATAGCCCTTTTTACATTTCACAAAAAATCGAGTTTTCAAATAACGGAGTCCCCTTAAAGAACACTGCAGGTAGAGGGGGAAATGGCAGGTTGACAACAGTAACATCCTTTAAAATCAGATTAATTCAAGTCAACAGACAGAACCACTATAGGTATTTTGTGTCATGTTGCTTCCCCAGTAGCGATGAAGTTTAATTGCATATCACATAAAACGTTGATTTTAACCAAATCAACATTACTTATACAAGCACTGTTAAAAAGTGACCAAACTTCATAACTTTTACGATAATAACTGCATAAGTTGGCCGGAAAATATACCAAAGACCCCAAAGTAAATTGTTTTGCATGCCGAGGGGAGCATTTTTTTAGAAGTTTGTGCTCGGATTTTTCTAAAGACAGGTTTTTTTTTTTAAATTATTCTCTGCGGTCTCAAGAAAAACGAATAAGGGTCTTGAAGTCGGGGGGAAGAATAAAAATTCGAAAAAAGAAAGAAAGAAAGAGGTATCCCTTACCACTAGCGCTAGGGCAGCTAAGGAACGGGGACTTTGCTGTCGGTCAGACAGCGGAGCGCAAAAGAAAAAAAAAAGATTTACAAATATCGGTTAATTGTTAGTCGGCGGATCCCAGACCTATCAAAATAGAAAAAAAAAAAAAACAGTTCTGAACCTGGAAGGTGGGCGGACCTGAGCACCAACTTAAAAAAAGACTCTCGCCTGAGGATTGAGAAATTAAATTAACTCCCGGCATGCAAACATGGGCAAATCCAGAACCAAATTTTCCAGCTCGGGATTTTTTTCTCCAAAAGGCCACGATTTTGGATATTTCTTTAACCTTTTTAGGGCTTTTTCTAAGAGGTGAGGCCGCACTTTGAGGGTTTTCGTCATATGCTCACGGGAGGGATAAACACCCCATCCCCCATAAAAAAATTGCTGTGTCCTCTATCATATTTCTATCAACCGCTACAGGGGGGCATGGCCCACGATAGCCCCTCTCTGGATCCAACAATGCCCATAAACCAGTAAATAAATACACGTATTAGCATACATGTATTACCAACATCAAAATGACATTCTTTTGAGGAATGTTGGAGTGCATAATGTGGTTCAGCCCTCAGTCACAAGCAAAGAAGTAGTCGAAAGACACTCTAATTATAATGGCCGACCAGTTCAGCGAAATCCCATGACCACTGAATGACTTTTTTCTGTCGGACACATTTCTTGCTTCAAGTTCACTCACATCTCGCAAGATCATTTCAGGAACAAAATTAAAAAGGCTGACTCTTATCGATGCCAACACCAAACCCTGGGGCCCGCCCGCACAATGTTGTCGGCTGAGCTGGCTAGTCGCAAGTCTTTTGAGTGACATTAATTGGTGGAACATTCGCACTCGAACTTACCCATACCGCGCAATTTTGCAATGCAGAACGTTTATGAACATGATGTAGCAGTAACCGGATAGTGCACAGCCTTATTTGAGTGCTGTTACAAACCTATAAGTTGTAAATTTATGACTTAATGCATATCAAATGCACTTACCTACAAAACATCCAGGTAGGAACTACAAAAATAAAGATCAAAAGAATACCGTTGAAATTGGTGTTATTCTTTCTGTAAAAGTAAAGTCATCTTTGTTAGTTATAGTAAACACACTAAAACTGTTTATTAAAATAACGATGGTGAGGAGGGTAAGAGACCATCAAAACACCGAGTTAATTTAAAGAATATGAGACATTTATGGGGAAAAATACCGATATTGAGGTATGCAGTCGAATTTGGACATAGCACGAGAGAAAAGGTCATTTTCGTTTGCCCTTTTCAATTAGTATGAAGGTTTTTATTTAAAGAAGTAGCGAACTGTAAAATGAAATGGTATCGCAAAAATATCAAGTTGACCAAAAAAAAAAGGAATTTGGAGAAGCAAATTTGACAATTTCCGTTCATGTTATCAAAGCAAACCAGCACGAACCATCAAAGAAAACTCTGACAAGCACTTAGTTAACAAGGATATCTGTATTTTGCTGTCTGGCTTTCTGTTTGCTGGTAAGCAGTAGTGCCTTGCATTTTACATTGACGCTATCTGTGTTAAGCTTTGCACTTGCTGTAGTTTGAAATCGAAAATGTCAACGATGAACGGTAAACTTTTTAAACTGTGTGTTTTATGGCACGCTTTGGTTTTTGTAGGCCCCGCTGTTGTCTTTAGCCCAAGAGGAAGTGCCTATCCAACGGGATGATCATCAAGTCCTGGCTGAAAGTGACTGAAAAAAGTTCTCCTTTTCTTTTTGTTTTTATCCACTTTACACGAACCCTGGCATTAGCTAGAAGACTTTCGACAGCTTTCCTTCCCAATATTCAGCAGTTAACTTATTCTAAATTGCAGACGCGCCAATTTACTTGCCGCACGCACAGATAGTGTAAATTCGAATTCCCAGCGTTTTTACTTTCACTCTGCTGTGACACACAGACGCAATATCTCCACCGGCCTTGTTGGCATAAGCGGCCTAATTATAAATCAGTCACCAACATAAATTCAATTTGAAACAAAGGAACTCGTCGGTAGCTATTTCTGAAGGGTGTATTTCGAGAGGGACATGTTCCTTTCGGGATTCCATGTTGGCGCCAAGGTTACGGAATAATGCATTCCTAAATGAGTTACCATTGTTTACCGCAAACATACAGTTTAACTAACCACGTTCCTGTATATAATCTTTACAGCAGTGTTGCGCAAATTAAATCTCTGTCCAATCTTTCCCTTTCTGTTCCCATGAAATTTCTGTTCCCATGTGCATGGTCCGGGTTTCATCGCCGTGGCTTTCGTGATTATTTCTTTACCTCTCGAATACTTTGTCTCTACAACATTCATTTTTCCTTTTGCTCAGAAGTATACAGAGTAACAGAGGCTCGCGGTGAAACGTAGTGAGGCTTGTAAGACATGGTTACGAACAAAACCCGTTTGTCTAACTGGATAAACCTTGCAAAAATAATCACAGGAGGCTCTGAATACACACAGAATTTCAAACTGAGACGGGTGTACAGTGGCCGACTTAGCCCATTTTTGTCGCAATGAGATTGTGAAAACCCACTCCGATTGGAATAGTTAATAATGCAGAAATGCCCAGACAATTGGATACGCTTTTACTCTCCACGGTACTTCTTTTTATAATGTGGCTGATAAGTAATGTTTGGTTACCTTCCTAAAACTTGAAAGTTTTGCCATCTGCGGTATCACTTTTATCCGGTAAATGTCTTCGGGGAACAGTCGTTAACAACTTACTGCTTACTCACGAAACGTATACAGTAGATGTGGATTTTAAAACATGGTAACAACAAAACCAAGTTCTATCAACTGGTTTACACATTGCATAAACAAAATGAAGGTTCTTCAATGCATACCAAACATCACGCCGGACATTTGTATTTAGAGAACTGAGGTCTAAATAGAAATGTCCGAATTTGACCCTTTTCGTTGCAGTATCGGTAACTTTCTACAGCCCTTAAAAATAATTAACTGAAACAGCAGTTGTTTTTACCTAATGAAAACAGTTACAGATAATTGCAGGTTGCACAGAGCGAGTTTTGGGGATACAGTCACAAACACTCACCACAATTAGCAACAGGCAATGCAGAAACATCTCATCACTCGTCAATTTTTCAAACGTAAGCGAAGCGATTTCGGGCAGACATGAAAAAACCACAAATCAAACGAAGCTCGAAGTTGGCGATATGCCGTCTTGCTAATTTTGAGCGATACTCGTCCGGTTGCGTGATCGATGTCTTGCAATTAGTGCGCACTGTCGACAACAGGCCAAAAAAACTAATATTGCTTGGATGGGGCGCATGAGAGAAGACAATAGGAAATCGATTTTTTTACCCTGCGCCCCAAGGGCGGTTTTCCAACAACTACTGTTCTATGTATGAGTTTTAAAAGAGATCATTCTACCAAGCGTGGGGTATAGGATACAGTCAAGTTAAAACGTTAGAGACAGAAATGGCTTGCGGCTATCTGACTTCCGGAGCAATCTTGATTCGTCCTTAAAAATTGGCGTTGCTCATTCAGTACCAAACAGTACGAGGTAGGTCTGCCCTGTTTGGTACTGAAATGAACCCCCCGTCGAACTCTTACACATCCCCCTTTTCTGCATCCGATACATGAACCTTATAATTTTTCCACGTGTTTCGGTCCTCTGGTCATGGCGTAACTGGGTGTATATCTACATTTTGCAAGGGGCACGGAGGGCCTCATTTTCTAGAGGGTACACTCGATGGGTTCGGTCACAGTTAAAATACTGACCGTCGATACATTTTTTCCTTCTCCGATTCTGTAGCGAGAACGGGGTGCAGGCCTCAAGCTCGGGGCGTTGTCCTGCCAATGCTCCTGGTGCAACTTGTCTGAACTTTCTGCAAGCTTGGCCCAGTAATAGGCCTATTCCCCTTTCAATGACCCGTTTGCCATGGTTTCCCGTACGTGTTGTGCAGTCATCGTAATTAAAAGGTTAACCGAATTTTTCTTTCAGGACCCATGGCTACCGGGTTGTTTTCTAAAAACGCAGAGAATATATCTCACAGTTAATCACAAACAGTCGTTGGGTTCTGTAAAAACTAGAGTACTGAAAAAATACACACAGAGACTTGTTGGCTTTGGAAGCATCTCCTGTCCCACTTCATTGCCATGGCAACGGCAATTTGCTACACCCGCTGGGATCGAATTGCCGCTATGATCGGCCGCGTCACAATGACATGCTTGATGAAACCTGTTAAATCTCACGGACGGTTGCTAAAGATTCCCTTCGTACGGCACTGGTCATCATAAGCAACGCCTCAGCAACAATATCAAACCTGCGTCAATATCGAAACGGTGTCTGCCTTCTAACGTCAGTACACGTACTTTAGTCAGTACTTTGACACAAGTAATAATAATTAGTTATTTTTCCAAAATAAGTCACCTGCTGACTTGACAAGATAAATAAAATTGAAAAAAAGTAAATAAAAAAGATTAAACAAGTGTTATATTCGGGTGACCTTCTGTTAACTTGCCTTATAAATGACGTGTATTTGGAGCTTTGGACAGCTACTATGGATATTCCTACACTCCTTCACATCACGGCTGAGAAATTAGTTTCGTTTTAAGACCTGGAAGGAACCAAAGTTCCTGCGTTTGCTTCAGCACGGTCTCAGCCAAATAGGACAAGGTCAGAAGAGGGTTGGGGTGCAAGTTCCATCCCCCCCCCGGTTCAGCCGCGAACTAAATGGAAATACCAGTGAAATGACGGGAAATGAGTACCACGAAAAAAATCTTGGACGAGGATTGCGCCGTCCATCAATCCATCTATAGTTAAGTTTTCTTTTCATCAGGGAACGGTGCATGATGCTTCAGTACGCACATCACCCCCGTTTCCTGAAAGATAGATCCGCCCAAGAAGGTGTTTTGTAACCACAATCATTTTTCTGACGTCAGCGAGTGATCACTTTTCTCAACAATTTTGATGACAGATCAATGGAACCCCAGAAATTTTGGTTAACTGCGAGTCCAAAATGACCGTTTTCAAGACAGCGAGTGGTTCTAAATTCCATGAAATTTCGGCAAAAGTGTAAATCTTATTAAAACATTGCAAGAAAAAACAAAGAAGAGAGTCTTTTGTGAGTTTTTTGAGAGACATCTTTACTTTAACCCTGACCCGTGGATTTCCCTGGTCGTGAGTTCTCGCAGAAACGTTGGGCATTTGCGACAACCCAAGAGAACCGTTTGCAATATTGAGCCATTACCAAAATGACAAAAACAGCGTGGTCAAGTTGAGGCAACCACTTATGCGTAATAACACCGGGGTAGTAATCTAGCAAATTGGTACTTGTATCGAGGAAGACAGGCGGTTCGCACCACTTCGATTTACCCAGGGATGCACGTCACTGCACGGAGGGAATGCACTCCGAGAAAAAAAGAGCAGAAACTCCGTCTTAATGGCGGGTACAATACACATGTAAACACCCGTGCTTCAGTTCTCATCAGATCGAGGAAAAGCCAGCTTAGTGAGTGTGATGAAGTTAAAAACAAGGAAATCGCTAAAAGGGTGCCATCATGTTAAGCAAGAATTTTGAGCTTTCGCAATCGCAAGAGCATCGATTTTTGTACCTTCCGAAGTTGATTTGCGAGAGGGAGATTGTGAAGGCATTCGTTGAAGGACTGGGGTAGGGGTAAACCCCCCCCCACACCCAACCACCCACCCACACCCCTTTGGCTTGAATCAGTGCCCAGTGCTGCTCCTGTACACACATTGCCAACCATCTGCCCTTGCTACTACAAAATGTCGGACAAATAGGCGGGAGCTTTTTTTTTTTTAAGCTGGTGCTCCAATCCGCCAAAATTCCGGATTCAGAACTGGATTTTTTTTATTTATTTTTTTTTTTGAGAAGTTTCAGATCCGCCATTCCTCTATGCACCAACCAACAATTTACCAACATAAATATAAAAAAAGACAAAAATTGGGCTCTGCTGTCCAATACTTTTTTTCCCGTCCTCTAAAAATTTGTCTTAAAGAATTCTGCTGTATACCTCAAAACAAAAAGGCCAAAAATGAGCTCAATTTGGATATGCATGTATATGTATAAATAAAAAAAATCAGTTTTATTTTTAAAAAGTGAATTCATATCTTCATTAGATACACTGACTCGATCACAAAACCAGGGGGTCGTCATCAAGTCACCAAAAGTTATAAATCAAAGTCTCAAGTCAAGTGATATTTAAAAAGAATTGTGACAAAGAAACTCCTTTCTTACTACTTTGTCCCCAACACCTGCAAACTGACTTACAACCTGATTACAGTGACTGACATCGTGACCGACTAGATTACAGGTTTGCCAAAACAAAATCTCTTTTTTAGATTAATCTCTCCTTTCAAAAAAAAAAAGAAGGTGCTTTCAAAATCTCTCCTTTAAATTATAAAGAAGGTGCTTTCTTGTTGCATTTATGTCTAAATCAAAGCTTCTCAGTGACCAATCTTGCATAAAAGGTCCAAGATGCAGTGCTTTCAATGTGAAAACATTTTGCTTCATCTTTTCATACTTGACACATGTCCCCAGGGTCGAGAAGAACCGAGTTGCAGAGGGCTCACCTCAGGAATTAACAAATCATGCTTACATGCCGGTGACCAATGCTTTCCCTTTGTGAACACGCACTGAATCTTTCGCTCTTCAGGGAAAAAGGACCCTCCTTGCATAAAATACCAAAGGTTCACATTACGTCGGGATCGGTATTTAAGACCAAAAGTCATAAATAAATAAGTAGAAAGGATAAGTTCTTAAATGTCAACGACATCATACCCAGAAAATACTTGATAAAATCATTACAATGTACGTGTCCAACAAATGCCCGCAGAGAACTGCAGAAGTAACAAGACTAAACACAAGCCTTCCTGTACAATCCATGCCGATACCTTACATATTTACACACAGTTTAAAAACCCAACTTTTGAAGTACATCCTCATTCAACCCAGTTCACACTCTTGGCGCGTGTGAAATGCCAGCAAGACTCCTAGTCCACAGCGTCCGCATAATGGGTTTTGAAGGTCTGCAAGGTGGATGTGGCAGGGAGACCAAGCCTGGGTAGCTAAGAATCGGTGTATGGGAACTCAACATTTCAGACTGCATGCATTTTGCATCTGCTCGTGACGGACAGAGAACACTGCCTGAAATGTCCAGCGCGCCGGTTCTTCTCAGAATCCCATGCACTTCTAAATAAAGTTCCACATGGTGCTACTGCAAACTTCGTCAACAGCAGTTGCCAGAAATGAAAGAAGGTAAGACAACTTTCAACTATTAGAGACTCAACTCAGCCAAGTGCATGCACTTGTAATGTATCCATGTTGTTACTTCCATCTTAACTGCTTCCGGATTTTATCATTTTGGCTAAAAAGTTCAGCTTTCATAACAGAGCACGGCAGCCAACTTTTGGTATGCAGCCAAATTCCACAAACGCTAAATTGCTGGCATTATTTGAACAAGATTTGTACGATGTTTCTCTCTCCAACCTCATATTTTTGCAACACTCCAGGGTAATGTGATGGACGGAGTGATACCTGCTATAAAGCAGGCCTTGTACATTGCCCAAATTCAACATACAAACCACCTCTGCACTCCACAGACAAGTCAGCCTTTATGTGTCTGTTCAAAACAAACAGTGATGTGTACAGGTACACCAGCAGTGACTCAGGGCACTTGTTCCAAACCAGTCAGTCATCCCTTTGTGTACATACTGCCAGACTGTGTCAACACGTCACAGGAAGGGAACACCGCAGAGTTGAATTACTCTGGATTCGGGGAGGTTTGGAGCAAGTGTGTTTAGGTGGTAAAGCTGCACATAATTCAGCATTTTCACGAGATTCATCGGTAATGATCCCAGTACGAAATCATTCAGTTCAGAATACTGCTGTTGACAAAGGGTCAATTCTACTAGGTGAAAATCTCACAAACATCTATTTGCCAACTCCTGTTATTTCATTCAAAGATCACACCGGTCCATAAGACTTGGACAGCATGCTAAGCAGAGAGTGCAGAGGTCAGAAAAGCCACTTGAATACTTGCATTGGGAAGCACCTGAGACACACTGAAAGCATGACAAATGCAAATGCTACAATAAACCACACTTTCACAATGCATGCTTTCTCCATTCCACATGAAGTCGAGACACCAGAAATGCATCTTAGTGAATGCAAATATGAGCTTCTATTACGAGCACGTCACCTGAGCACACTGATTTTCTGCACTTGGCACCAGGAATGCAGAACTCATTTTCATCTGAATGTGCACAAATCATTAGTGTCTTTGTGCGGGTACCAGACACTTGATAGCAATGGCATTCACAGGTCTCTTGCACCCCTCTTTCTATCACTGTTCCTGTGTGCATGGTCGCTGTCTACACACAGGTGAAAGTGAAGAAAGGCCTTTGGACTTTGTGTAAAATAATATCCATGGCATTGCACTTCTCTAAAATATACAGGTAATGGATTGCTATTTAACCTAGCTTGAACAGCACCATCATAATGTTCCAGGGGCCACTTTGACGGCCTGCTCGGGGTGCAGGCTCTTCTTACTAATCAGGAGCAACAGCATCAGGAGAGGCAGGTGCAGCAGGGTGAACTTGAAGAGCTGCTTGGCCGACTTGCTGTCGGCCCGCCGGTGGAACCGCCAGCCCAGGTAGACCAGCCAGAGGTTGAGGGGCAGGGAGTCCAGGGCGAAGGTCCAGGTGGTCAGGCCCAGCAGCGGGGCCAGACCGCTGCTCAGGCCCAGTGTGGCCACGCAGTGGCGCAGGGCCACCCGCCGGCAGAGGGCAGGGTTGGTGGTGGCCATCATGCGGTACCCACCACGCGAGTAGTCACTACGCAGGTTCCAGCTCAGGGCGTTGAAGTGGGGGAACTGCCAGCAGTACAGGAAGCCGGCCATCAAGAGTGCACCTAAAATAGTAAGGGGTATTTATTACACAGCTTGATGCCGCTGTTTCAGGCTTTTATGGCTGATCAAGCACATCAACCCTCTCTACTCTCATCAGCACTCACTTACACTCTGGAGCAGAGAGAGGCAAATGACGGCAAACTGGCTTGCCAGGATCACAACGTGTGTCCCATGATGGGATTCGAACCCCTGACCTGTTGATCAGGCATTATAAACCTTAACCACTGAGCTTCGTATCCCAGCAGGGTCAGTTTTATTTTGTTTTGGTTCAGAAAGAATTCAGAAATATTAAAATGAAATCAAGGAACATATCTTGGTGGATCTAAAATCATCAATTAAAAGATGGTGATATTTTCAGTGAAAAAATTCAAATTATAAAAGCACATGCTAGACGCCTTAAAGTTTTTTCTGAGACAGCCAAGCAATGACGACAAATAAAAACCGTTAAAACTTGACATGAATGCACTATTGAAGTAAGAGTGTTTAGCTCTGTCAACACACCTGGCTCCAGCCCCCCAGTACAGGCTGCCCATCCAATCACAGGTGGTAGCGCACCCACTACAGCCCCGACCCAGGTATTGACGATGCTTAGCCGCTTCATGGGCGTGTAGACTGCCACATACAGAGCCCAGGTGCTAGCGGCTATGGCTGCTGCTAGGGGATTGACAGTCAAGGCCAGGGTGCCTACTCCTGCTGAGCCGACCACTGCGGCAAAGCTGACGGCATGGAGAGGACTGCCAAGACAAATGCAAATGCAATGATTGGTCTCGCTACATTAGACTGACCTGGCTACATTAGATCGGCCTTGCTACATTAGATTGGCCTTGCTACATTAGATTGGCCTTGCTACATCAGA